AGTGCAATGCTCTGATGGCTGTGGCTCTCACGGGAGTTACAGAGAGGGAAGAGCTTGTAAGTACACTTGCAGTCCACTGGGCCCCCTCTGCAAGTACAGGGAGCCGGGGGCCCGCAGCTGCACACATAGATAGCGATATTCGGTTTCTATGTGTGCAGAGAGGGAATGTGAGGCCCAGGACTGCCAGAGCAGTCCGGGCCCCCCAGCACAGCCGGGCCCGTGACAACCATCATGGCTATCACTCCCTGATGGCGGCCCTGTATCCAAATATATTCAGAAGGATAGTACATGTCTGGCTGATAATATCCAGGGAGGCACCAGATGTTTAACTAATATATCTTTACTTTTGTCCCTACAGAGGAAGTGCACAATAAAGACCAAGAAAGGGAGTGTACTTGAGGTCTAAGATATAGCTGCAGTAGGTGCTTATTTCTACTGTGTTCAGAAACATATAAGTAAGCGACTAAGGGTGTTTGTACATAGAACAATGGGAGAGTATAATATATACTTAATTTCCTTTTAGGCTGAAATGTGTCTTTTTATATTAAACAGTAGTGACTAGTAGCATTTCTATAATTGATCTAAACTATACAGGGACTATCCCATATATTGGGGACTTCTCTTATTTTTTTAGGATAATTGAGGGTTAAGCTCCCTTACAGTTAGGAATAACCTGGCACTTTAGACATACAGATTTATATACCTCCATGTTCTTTTAAAGGGACACTGTAGGCACCCAGACCACTTCAGCTCATTGAAGTGGTCTGGGTATCAAATCCCATCTACCTTAACCTTGCAAGTGTAACTATTGCAGTTTTTATAAACTGCAATACTTATCTTGCAGGGTTAAGTCCTCCTTTAGTGGCTGTCTACCTCTACAGCCACTAGAGGGACATCCGGCTTCTTAGTCGACTTTTGGTCGTCTAAACAACACTGGATGTCCTCCCCATAGGAAAGCAGTCAATAATGCTTTCCTATGAGGAGGTCTAATGCGGGCGCGCGGCCATTGCTACGCATGTGGATTAGGTCTCCCTGCCGGCGGATGTCGGTGGGGAAGGAACGTGGGCAGAGCCTGACCCAGCATCTAGGGACATCAGCGATGGATTCAGGTAAGTGTCTGAAAGGGTCTTAACCCCTTCAGTGGCGTGGGAAGGGGGCAGGAGGGAGGGGGGCACTCCAATATACTCTAGTGCCAGGAAAACAGGTTTGTTTTTCTGGCACTGGAGAATTCCTTTAAATTACTATAATGTCTTCCATTGCCCTTATTAATTTTGTAGCTCAGCTGTTCACTTTTTCTAGTTCTGCAATATCCTTCTTTAAAACAGGTGTCCAAATTTCCACCACAGATTTAAAGTGGGGCCTTACTATTAATTTATTAAGAGGTTAAATTAGATGTTGATCACCTGAATCTATATCCCTTTTTAAACATGACAGTACCTTATTATCCTTTCCAATGGCAGACTAGAATTGCACATTGTTGCCTAATCTGTTATATATAATTGTCATTTTCCTTTAAAATTATCCCCAACTCAACCCCATTTAATATAAAGTGGCTTCTGGGTTCCTTGCTCCAAAATGCATGACTTGCATTTATCAGTATTGAAAATCATGTGCTACTTGCCTCACAAGTTATCCACATTCCTATGTGGAGAAATTATACAGTTATGCTCAGAAGTTTGTATATCTTTGGATAATTGGAAATAAATGTACCATTTTTCTGCAATTCTTACTGTGATTTTCACAATGAGAAGACGCTGCCGTCCATAGGAAAGCATTAAGAAACGCTTTCCTATGGACTGACTGAATGCACGCACGGCTCTTGACGCGCATGCGCATTCGGCGGATGATGCCGGAAGAGGAAGGAGAGAAAACCATTACATTTGAAACAAGTAGCATAATTAACACTACAGAAGAATAATAATCAGAATTTAATAGCTCTCTTATTCCTATTCATCATTCCAATCTTAAATTAAAATCAGATTTTTACCCTTGGTCAGAACGTAATAAATATTTAGAAATAGTTTACAAATTAGTCCGGGTAGATTTTGAAAAAATTGCACAAAAAAAACATAAATCAGAGAAATAAAATTATCATTCAATTTAACAAAGGAAGAGAAGAAAGCTTTATAATCTCTTTAAAAAAAAATCATGATCTAGTATTAAAAGAGACAGACAAGGGAGGAGGAACATAATAATGACAAAAAAGAAATATTATATGGGAGAATCTAACAGGATCTTGGGAGATAACCAAACATATAAGATCCTTGAAAGAAATTCTACTGAAATATATCTTAAAGAACTTAAAGTTATTTTGGAAAGAGGACTGAATTATCAGGTTATTTCCCAAGATGAATTTAATTTTATGTTTTATCCTTATTGTAAGATGGCCTGTTTTCATTTTTTTGCAGAAGATCAAAAAAAAAAAATCTAACCTCCCCTCCTGGCAATCCTATCATTAGTGGAATTGACTTCCTTTCATTTAACTTATCAGAATATGTTGATTTCTTTTTGCAGACTTATGTACCTTTATCTGCTTTTGTTGACTTTCATCTATAAAAGTATGCACAGGGTGCTCCATCATATGTTAAGGACACTAAGTCCTTCTTACAGGAGATGGAAAGTATAGAATGGAAGTCTGAATACAGCTGGGCAAATTTGCACATAACCTCTCTTTATACGGTTATAAGCCGCAGATTAGGACTAGAAGCTATAGATTATTTTATGACACAGGATGCTGATATGCCAGAAGATCTAAAGGGGTTCATTTTATCTTCTGTTAAATTTATTTTAAAACATAATTATTTTTTCTTTAATGGAGAATATTTTTTACAGATAACTGGCATTGCCATGGGCACCAGGTTCGCCCCCAGTTATGCCAATACCTACATGAGAAAGTGGGAGGAGTTGTTCGTATGGTCTGGTCATGACTGGCAAAGAACCTGGTGCTCTGGCAGTGATACATCTTCTGTCCTTTTCCAAGACTATGTCCATTTTCTTAATTCTAATTCTTACCACTTGGTCTTCACTCCAGTTTGGAATAAAAACAAAATTAATTTTCTTGACCTTACACTTTCTTGCGAACACAATCAGATTAAAACTAAATGCTTTTTCAAGCCTACAGATGGCAATGGTTTTGTACACCGGCAAAGCTGCCATCACCAACCATGGCTGAGGGGAATCGTAAAGAGCCAATTTGCCAGACTTAGATGTAACTGTTCCCATACACGGGATTTCCAGGATCAATTCCTATATGTCAAGGACAAGTTGCTTAAAAGGGGGTACAATAAGAATTCCATAGAGAAGGAAATTCATTTAGACCATCAGATAGAAAGAAACACAAATTCTGGAAGATAAACCCAGTGCATCAGCTCCTAAAGATACCTTTAAATCTGCATTTATAACCCAGTATAATATTGATCACAAAAATATCAGAAAGAGTCTACAAAACTATTGGCCCATTCTATTACAGGACCCTATTCTCGGACCTACTATATCAAAAAATCCAACAGTTATTTTTAAGAAAAATAAAAATTTTAAAAATATGCTAGCTCCTAGCTATGCTCTCAAACAAGTTAAAAAATATACCCCCACTCAATCGGGAACTTTCAGGGGTTACAATTCATGTAAGGCCTGTACCACTTCCTTAATTGACAGGACTACTACCTTCTCAAGTTGCACCTCGGGGAAGTGTTTAAGATCAAGTCTGAGATTGGATGCCACACGGACTTTGTAGTTTATTTACTGCAGTGTCCGTGTGGCAAATAATATGTTGGCCGTACTAAGAGACCATTTCAAGTTAGAATACTTGAACATCTTAACAACTTTAAGAAAAAACTCACGACTCACTCTGTCCCAGTTCACTGTAACACCTGCCCCTTATTCTCTTTTGGGGGCTTGCAGTGTACAGGAATAGAGAGAAGTTTTCCATACCAGTGTGGAGGCGACCGAGTCAATAAGTTGGCCCAGCGTGAAACCTTCTGGATTCATAGACTCCAAACTCTTGAACCCAGGGGGTTAAACGTGGGCATAGATTTGTTTTTGTTTTTTGACCTGATAATTAATTCCATTATATATTCCTTTTTTCTTCTTTATTTATATTTTTATAATTTCATATATTGAAATTACAGTTTAGATATTCTCTTTTTTGGCCCAAATCCTCCTACCACCTGCTGTTGTCGGCTTGCCCTGTTCCTATCTGGCCTCTTTCTCCCCTGCTGCCCCCTTTTCCTCATATTCAATAGTATCCACCATCTCTTTCCATATGTATTCTGGTATCCACCTCCTCTTTGGGGGATAAATACTTATAAATAAAAACTATGGGCACTAATTTTGCCATTCAAGGAATTTATTCAAATCTATGTATGTGTGTTTAACTCCAAAATAATTGGAGTTTCTTGTTTTTTGTTTTATGTATTTTTATGGGACATCACTATATTAAAATTGCTTTTTGATGCAATTCTTGTTACGTGTCACCTTTATATAATAAATTGACTGCACTTATTTATAAGTGTGTTATAATTAATCCTGTCACTAATATAACTATACACTTTTTACAGTTATTTATTGGCAGTTTTTATTATTGTTTGTATTAAGACTAATTTTATTTTTCTCTCATTAGATTTATATCCCCATTTTCATTGTGTAATAATGTGTTAAGTGTAGTTATTAATGCTGCTTGGTGACCACCAGAGGGTAGTATATTATGATGCCCGAACCTCGCGCAAGTGGAACGTATCCCAAGGTGGAACACGGAAGTAAAATACACTGTACTGTCATGGATCAAATCAAGTCTTTGATACATTTGTGTATCTACCCCTTTCCAAATTGGTTATGGTGCGTGCACGCTTCCAGAAGTAATTTCACACCAGACACAAGTTTCCAGGTTGATGAAATACTGAGGAATGCTTTATTCTGGGGGCCAGCATGCCTTTGTAAAGCAGAAATACATCATATGCATAATTATAGATAACAGAGAAGAATACATTAATAATTGGTTAGGTGTTAAGTGATGCATTCAATGTACATCCCACTGGGTGTGATATTGCCCTTATCATGAATGTCTCCCCCAGATTCCAGCACCATCTTGTAACACAAGGTAGTCAGTCGATGGAGGGGGTGACTCCCAGGGGGCCATTTTGAGTAGTCACTGAATAATACTGATCATGATTACATAGAGTAAATAGGCATTTTACTAAACTATTATTTTGTCCACAACAGTCCCCCCTTAAAATGACTATTTACTAACAACTACAGTAAACATCCAGAAATCTGGGCTACATTACCAGTTGGACCTGTGTTAGCTGAGATGAAGGTAAAACATGTCATGGTGTCAGGGAGTGTTTTACACACTCCCCCTTTCTCTGTCAAGATCATATCTAGGGCCTTATTCTGAAAAGTCATGTGGCTTGTAAGTGCTCAGCCAGCCCTTGAAGGGCATCTCCAGTATAATTAACAAAGCACTGTTGGTTGTAATAGATACAATTAATACAAATCAAATTATTATTAGTAGTGATGGTTGGGGGAATATATTCAAACTTCGTCTTTTACTTTGAAATCATTTGGTTCCCCCCCCTTGGCACACCTATGGCATATATATATGTGTGTGTCAAAATTGCTCTTTACAGGGGTGTTCCTTTAATCCTGAAGCATGAATGTGGTGTGTCAAGAGTACCTTGGTTATTGTCATGTATTATGTGTATGGACATAATAACCTTGGCTAGGGCACATTTACTTATTCTTTATTGTATACATTTTGTCCCATGCTAACTCATGTGGACTCAGATTATTTATTCAATATTAATATCACCACAAGATTAAGATGAACAGATGATCCTAAAGAAGCTTCGACCGTGCGTAGGCACCTCAGCTTCCGGACGTGAGGGCTGCAGGGTAAGGAGTACGTCTGATTCTCTTTAGCTTCACAAGGTCTCCTTTTGGGGGTCCTCGGCTTTCTATCGATGTCAGGTGGTCAGGCATTATTATGGACGTCAAAACACCTACTTGTTGATACTTTCTCCAACAAGTAACTTTACTTTCTTAAAATGGAGAGTCAAAGGGTTGTCAAGATCAACAAACGTTACCTCCCATGGAGCAGGGACAGACTTGATTCTGGAATGGTGAATCTATGGGGTGATCTCTGCAACTTTCATGGTGTACTGCTAGGCATATGGTCTTGGTTGTCACATTGGTGACGGGGTAGGCCTCTGGCCATCCTGAAGCATGTCTATTATAACTAGTGTATATTTGAATCAGCAACTCTTTAGCATCTGGATGTAGTCAACTTGGATTCTTGGAAGGGATGGCGAGGTTTGACTAGATGCTTGGGGCTTTTCTCTATTTTTCTGCCTGAGTTGCCCTTGGCACAGATGGCGCAGGATCTGCAGTAACTGTTGGTCAGAGAGGTAATTCTAGGTGCTTCAGAGTATTTATTGATCAAAGAGTTCATTAGGGTCTTGGACAGCTATGATGCTCCATGGGCCCACTGGACCACTGCTGAGTACATGCTCTTGGGTAAACAGAACTTGAGATTGTTGGAGTACAGCCAGTCTTTAAGGGTTGCCTCTTTCTGTTTCCAACCTTGTATTCCTTCAGGGTCAGCAGCTGCTTGTTGTTCCTTCAGGAGATCTGTGGGTAGGACCTACATGGTGAATATGGGAGTTTCTTCAGCAGACCATCTTCTGTCCATTTCCCTTGGTGCACTTGCGACTTGTTGGCAACTTGGTCAGCTAGATAGCTACCACATGCTTCTTCTGAATTCAGCCTTCCCGGAGTCTTAATCTTCAGTGTGGCCACTTCTTCAGGAGAGGTAAGGTATCCATCAGTTTCTTCATAGCCGTGCTGTGCTTAACTGGCGTGCCAGTTGCTGTGAGAATCTTCTTGTTTTCCAGATTGATCCAAAATCATGTGCCACACCCAGGGCATACCTTGAGTCAGTGTACATATTAGCATGCTTTCCTTCAGACATTTTGCATGCTACTGTGAGGGTTGTTAATTCGGCTTCTTGAACAGACATGGATGAGGGAAGTGAAGATGCTTGAAGTACTTGATCCTCTATAGTGACAGCAAATCCAGTACGGTGCCTTCCCTTTTCGTCCGCAATCTAGAGCCATCCACAAACAGGGTAAAGTCAGGGTTTGGCAAAGCAACTTCATGCACTGTTGGGAGATATGTTATCTCCATTTACATCTGTGCAAAGCAATCATGAGGAGCAGTAGGAGGGCTATCTTCACTTATTTCTGTGTGATATTGAGGGTAGTTAACTGTCTTGCAATTCACAGTTCTCTTGATGGCCCCCCTTTATGGAGAGCTGATCTTGATTAGTATTGTTCCATGTTTTTGCTAATGAGTCAAGTTCCTTCCATGAGATTTCTGGGGACTTAGTGAAGAAAACATGAGGGACAACCATCTCCCAGTGATAATACATGTGTCTTACTTCCATGGGTGACTGGAGCAGGACCACACTGTCCACTTGGGGCTGAATAGTTCTTTTTTGCAGTGTGGATCTGGTCCTGGGGTATTTCTGAACCACATGGTGTAATGTAAAGGCTGAGGCTGCTCATCATGTTGAACCATGGGTTTCTGTATCTGTAGTTCAAGAAGAACGTCAGGGTCCATGTCAAGGCTGTATCATTTCCCCCCTGGGAAGTGGCAGAAGAGTGGCCGCAATGAGAGAGTAGCATCTCTGCAGCGTGACATTATCTGGAAGCAGAACAGAGGATTGGAGAGTGGCCTGCAGGCGGAGATGTTTTGGTTGAATTTGATTAAGAATGGCAGTGAAGTCATGAAGTACAAGGATTGTAAGCTTGTGGTATAGGACCAAGTCATTTGTCTTATCCAGGAGTGCCTGTGCTGCAAACACTGGATGGAGACAGGCGGGAACCATGAGATTGTGTAAGAACACCAGAAGCATGACACAGTCTTTCAAAGACAAACAGTTTGGTAGTGTGGGAGGCCCAGGGCAGGGGCCGAGGTGATAGCACATAGCAAGGCACGGAAGCTGGAGTAAGCTTCAGGGGACAGAGAAAAAGTTCAGTCTTTGAATAAAAGGTACAGGCTTTAGGACATCATACAGGTAAAGACCTCAGGCATCCAGGTTCTGCAGTAGTAAATGAGGATCAAAAAGACATTGGGGGCTTGTACAAATAGCTGTGATTCCCCACACTCGGTCCCGGGTGAGGTGACGGGTGCCATGGGAAAGACAATGTCCCAAGAAGACAACTGAGGGCCGGCATCATGGTAGCCTCCTTTTGGAGGCTTTGCATCCTTATGCAGCAAGGTAGTAGAGCGAGACAGGAGCATGTGGGGATTAAGCACAATGAGTGTTTCCAGGACAGTAGCATTATTAACAGTCTTGTATGTTAATGGCTCACCCTGCACAGAATTCTTCATGACAGGGAAAAGTGGGATATTGCAGGAAGCATCACAGGGGACCATTTGACATCAGAACTTCACCCCGTATGAAAATAGCAAGAGCTTGGGCAGGCTTCGGAGGATATTGTGACTTAAGGGGCAGGCTGGCTCCTGGGAGCAACTTTGCCAGAACTGGGGGGGGGAAACATGGAGGTGTCCCAAATCTTCAGGGCCTGTAGAATTCTGGCAAAGACATTGGGGTAACTGTCTAGGACCTTTGCATCCTGGCCAGGTTTTCTCCATGTGGAACAGAGAGCGGAAGTATCGGCAGCAGAGAGTGGTGCAGACAATTGAATCTGGCTATCAGGCACAAAGGTGATAGAGGCCTGCAACTGGTGGAAAGACATATGCACCTAGGAAATTGATTAGACAGGTAGAGGAAACCACAGAGCTGGTCTTTGTTAGCAGGGCACTCCAAGGGGTGCCATCTACACCTATGTTGGAGACAACAATAATGGATAGAAAAGAGGAGTCAGGTAGGATTCTCCTCCACTATGAAGGCCGCAAATAGCCTTTGGGTATGTGCCATGTAATACACTAAAACCCAAGTCAGAGAAAATATTTGGGACAACCTGGAGTGATACTTTCCTTTTCACCTCTTCGCAATAGGTGATCTGAGTATACTTTTTCAAAGTTAACATGAATAACACCTGGAAGGGTAAATCCATAATATTCTTTTACCTTCCATTTACTGACCTCAGCTCTGGCAGTCTGAACATGTTTATCATTATAAATAGAGGTTTTTGCGGTAAGAGAAGGAAAGTTACAGCCTATCTTTCAGTAAAACATTAACTGCTGAAGTACTTCACTTATATTAATAAGATTATCTCAATCACACCACTGTGCAATTTAAACGAATAACCAGCAGTGTCTGGGTTAATAAAACATTTTACACTTGCTTCTTATGTTAAAACATTATTCATCATTAAAGTTGTTACTGTAAATATATGATCTTTAACTATCATGATACAATTATGTAAAGATACATGGTTAAAATCAGATAATCTGGTGTCACGGTCCACGCCGTGACATCCAGTCTGCCAGATGTGGTCACTCTGGAAGCGCCCGATAGGGTATTTGAACTGTGGTTCTTCTGGACCATATCCTGCTGTTCTTCCTCTGAGCCATTTCAGGACTTTGGATAACTCCCTGTTTATTCTTGTATTGCCTGCAGCACCAGGGAGCTGGACTCCCTATCAGGTAAGACTCCGTTACAGATGAACTGACCAATGGAGTCTGCAGAGTTATACAAGTTACTCACCTCCCTGGCCGAGCAAGTCTCCAACCTGTCCCAGAATGTTACAGAATTGCAGAGACATTCATTGGCATTGAAAGGAGCAACGCTTGCAGTCCCGGAACATGTATGCCCAGAACCGTATGTCTTTATGCCTGACAGGTTCGACGGTTCCCGTTCTGCTTTTCCGATGTTCAAGACGGATTGTGAGCTACTATTTGCCCTGAAATCAAGAACCTACGCCACCGACTTTATCAAAGTACGCTCCGCTATTAACCTATGTATCGGGCGAATTAAGGCGTGGGCACACCAGAAGTTGCAGGAGAGAAGTACTGTCTTGGACTCCTGGGAGTTGTTTATGTCCGCAATGGATTCTCAGTGTTTTGCAGCAAGAAAAGCAACTTCCAAACCCATTTCAGGTCCTCGCAGAACCCGGTTGCCTAGAGAAGAGGAATTGTTTTATGGATACAAAAATCCCATCATGTTGCAGCATGAACCCACTTTCAGGGACCCGCCTTGTAACCCTGTTTACACTCGCGCTAGCAGTGAAACTCCAGTCGACATGGAGGAACCCATGGAGATTGGCTTCACCAGAACTAGATTGCCCCCGAAGGAAAAAGACCGCAGGAGAGCCCATGGTCTATGTCTATACTGTGGGAAAAGAGGGCATTTCATATCGCTCTGCCCGACTCGTCCACTTAGGACAAGACCCCTTCTGTCTGGTGCCATATGGACTTACCCTGTCATCCCAGCAAGACAGCCTGGACACTGCCAGCCCTGTCCCCGTCCTGTGACACAAAAGGGTACCCAAACTAATACCGTTAATGTTACCAGTACCTCTTTGGAAACTTCACCTCCTGCTCTAGAAACATTTGGACCTCTTCCTGATAACACTTCTGGTCAAGCAAGCACCATCACCACTTCCTGCCTTGCCAAAACAGTTCTGCCTCCTGACTGCACCTATGCCTCAAATGGCACAGTTGTGTGCAAACAAGATCTAGAATTCTTTGAAAAAGCTTTGAAAGCTGGAAATGCATCCCCTATAGCACCCGAAACTGGTACCATAAAATCCCAGGTTGTAAAAGGATACCTTAATTATAAAGACTATCTTAGTGATACTGATACCGAAGATGAAGAGTACCATTTCCAGGAAGAGCCTGTTCACACCCTGAGGGCGTTCTTGACGGGGGGTACTGTCACGGTCCACGCCGTGACATCCAGTCTGCCAGACGTGGTCGCTCTGGAAGCGCCCGATAGGGGATTTGAACTGTGGTTCTTCTGGACCATATCCTGCTGTTCTTCCTCTGAGCCATTTCAGGACTTTGGATAACTCCCTGTTTATTCTTGTATTGCCTGCAGAACCAGGGAGCTGGACTCCCTATCAGGTAAGACTCCGTTACATCTGGTCACTACTTAGATTTAATCTATAAGTAATTGTTCAGTAGATGTAAAGGAACCTTCCTTATTTTAGTTATAACATCGTACAGCAAGATACAGGCATTAACCCCTTAAGGACGGAGCCAAATGTACACGTTGTGAACAAAACAAAATGTAAACAAAACCTGGCATTTGCGCTACATGTCTGTCCAACCGTAATACACCTCTTTCATAGTAAATGCACCCACCCTTATTATATATCATTTTAAATATTTAGCTATGAAACATAATTTAATATGAAAAAAAATGGAAGAAAATACGATTTTTTTTATTTTTTTAGTTCTACATGACATTTTAAAGGTCAGTGTCATAATACTGTTTGCTTTTACTGCAATAAAATACACATATTTGTATTCAGTAAAGTCTCACGTGTAAGACAGTACCCCCTATGTACAGGTTTTATGGCGTTTTGGGAAGTTACAGGGTCAAATATAGCACATTACATTTGAAATTGAAATTCGCCAGATTGGTTACGTTGCCTTTGAGACTTTATAGTAGCCCAGGAATGAAATTTACACCCATAATGGCATACCATTTGCAATAGTAGACAACCCAAGGTATTGCAAATGGGGTATGTCCAGTCTTTTTTAGTAGCCATTTGGTCACAAACACTGGCCAAAGTTAGCGTTAATATTTGTTTGTGTGTGAAAAATGCAAAAAACGCCAATTTTGGCCAGTGTTTGTGACTAAGTGGCTACTAAAAAGACTGGACATACCCTGTTTGCAATACCTTGGGTTGTCTACTATTGCAAATGGTATGCCATCATAGGGGTAATTTTCATTCTTGGGCTACCATAGGGTCTCAAAGGCAACGTAACCAATGTGGCGAATTTTAATGTGAAAAAAAAAAAATCGAACGCAAGCCTTATATTTGACGCTGTAACTTTTGAAAACACCATGAAACCTGTACATGAGGGGTACTGTTGTACTCGGGAGACTTAGCTGAACACAAATATTTGTGTTTCAAAACAGTAAAAAGTATCGCAGCAATAATATCGTCCGTGTAAGTGCTGTTTGTGCGTGAAAAATGCAAAAAAACTTCACTTTTACTGGCAATATCATCGTTGTAATACATTTTACTGTTTTGAAACACTAATATTTGTGTTCAGCGAAGTCTCCCGAGTAGAACAGTACCCCCCATGTACAGGTTTTATGGTGTCTTGGAAAGTTATAGGGTTAAATATAGTGCTAACAAATTAAATTCCCTTTACTTTCGGCATGGGTTGTCAGGCAGGTCCCGCTAATTGTAATTAATTAAGATACCTAATTATGTAAAAAATATTACATAAATATATATGTAGAATTAATATATGTATATATATACGTATGTGTATATATATGTATATATCTATATAATTTTTTTAAAATATTTTTATTTATATATAGGTATATATATATAGTAATATATACGTATATATTTATGTATATAGATATATATATTATTTTGTTCTACTTGTATTTTGATATATATATATATATATATATATATATATATATATTAATTTCACAATACAGTTAGAACTAAATAACACACATCTATATATTTTTTAATTATTTATTTTTAATTATTTTTTTAATTTTATTTTTTAACGTATTTACATTTTTTTTTTTATATTATATATAAATATATATATAACAATAATAATATATATATATATTTAATCAGTATCGGTCTACGTGTAATTTGATATTAAAATATATATATATATATATATATATATATATATATATATATATATATATATATATATATATATAATTATATATATATATATATTAATAGTAAAATACACCTAGAAGGTGTGTATGTATATGTGTGTATATATATATATATAAACTTAGATCATATATATATATATATATAATATATATATATGATCTAAGTATATATTATAATTTTTTTTACACTTTTAACTTATTTTAATTGTATTTTCAGCCAGAAGGGGGACCACCTGTCATTACAGGCAGCCCCCCTGCTGGCAATGCAGAAGCCAGCTATCCCCGGCCATGTGATTGTGGGGTCCTCGCAAGGACCCCACTCTCACACGGCCGGGGGGCTTCCTGGAGGACGGACGTGCCGCGGGGGCTCCCTGGGAGTCCCCCCCACCGCGATCGCCGGCGTGGGACCGCCGGCGACCGGGTAAGTACCGAAAGACCGGAGGGCGTACTATTACGCCCGGCGGCGTTTAGAGCCGCCTATAATAGGGCGTAATAGTATGCCCTCCGGTCTGAAAGGGTTATATTTTGCAGTTATATTTCTAATATTTACAAAGTCTAACCATCTTTGTAATATACACATAATGTTTTTTTTTTTTATACTATGATTTAAAGTAACTGTATTATATTACATATCATCTGTGATACATTTCTGAAATAGGGAAACAAATAGCATGATTACTTTAGTAACTATAATTTTCTGTCCATGCGATTTACTATCCATAATATACAGAGTTTAAGGAAAGTCACATGTCCCCAAATAGGACAAGCATAACAGGGGTAGGCCTCATGATGGAGGCAGCCATGACAGGGGTGGGGAGGGAAATGATGGCAGGGGAGGAAGTGACGGCCATGACATGTGTGGGAAAGGAAGAGACAGGAGGTGAGGGCTTAGCAAGGGCGGAAGTGATGTTACGTTAGGAGTAGGCGTGACTATAGATAGTGGTAATCGGGTGGAGGTCACGGGGGGCTGGGTAAAAAAAAATTTTTTTCCCTTTGTGCCAGGCGCCATTTTAGACATTATATAAGACAGTTGAGAACATTAAGTATTTAACAGCCCATAAGCTGCACATAGCAAAACAATTATTTTCTACACCTAAGCTTGTAAAACCCATATAAACAACAATCCATATACCCCATTATTACTTCCAATGCTCTCATGAATCACACAAGAGCATACATCAATATACAAATCGAATAAACATGATATGTCTCACAAAACGCAACCAGCCTCTCCTACTATTCCATATTCCACATTGCTTAATATTCCAACAAAACGTAATTTGCCTTTACTCTTCCCTTATTGCAATATACTAATAACTTCTGTATAACATATCACTCCATAATTACTATCAGCCTCTATCCTTCATCCCCAAACATTCACTGTCACCTACCCATGCCATCAACCGTTTAACTCCTATGTCGCCCCAGCATTTCACAATATGTATTCCAACTCCTTCTAACCCTATACACCACCCTCAAACATTACACATGCATAAAACAGGTTAAAAAA